TTCCTCAGCTACAGTTTAGAGAGTTCATCCCCACTGCCTGGTTATAGTGAGCAAAAACAAAAGTGAGAAAGATTATACAGGAGCAAAAACTGAAAGTCTTTGTATAATTCTGTATCACTGATGAATTTTATGTAGTAATGTGCTGATAGATTAAACGCGTGGGGAATGCAGGACAGCGCATTTTTTCTAGAGAAAATAACTTATGGAAGTTGGGGTAAGTCTCGATTTTAGGAGAGTTCATTTAGGTCAGAAGTAGCCATGAGGTATGTACTTTAACATGCACTGTCCTATGTACGTTCTTTTTTTGACTGTAAAAAGAAATGTTATATTTTATTATTTTTATTTTACTCTCTGCCCATTTTTCTATCTCATTATTTAGAAATTCACCTTATTTATAATGTGATGACTGAAAATGAAATTCAATGGCATATTTACTTGTTGCATTGTTTAACAGTATATTTTCTACATGAATCTGCTTCTTTAGTTTGGACATATTTACAGAGATATATTATGAGCCATCCATAGTTAAATATGTATTTATTTTAAATATGTTAGAGCGAATATACTATATAATAATAAATATACACATTATGGGTTTTAACTTCTTCCTGTATGTATTCTGCTATTAGGAATACCTCAACATTAGCATCATTATTTCAGGCTTAGCAATTTTAATTTGTCATATTTAAGTGAAAATCCCTGATTGAAAGACTCTCTTGCATATTTTGGTCATTTGGGAATTTTTTTTTTAATCTGTGTAGGTGAAGTTTGACTATGAGCAGATCAGAGAAACCCTCACGTTAGTGACCAAAGAACGAGATTTGGCCGTGAAGGAGAATTATCAGCTCCGAGCCAAACTGGAGAACCTAGAGCAGGTCCTAAAGGTAAGAAACAAGCAACCATTTTTATTTTTTTATTCTTGGTGGACTTACAGAAACGTACTAAGCACTATAACCACTACTTTCCATCTGTCACAAGACTTCCCTGATTGCTGCCACCGATTCAGCCCACTTTGCAGGCTGCACGCATTGAATTCTCTGTTCGGTCGCGTGTCCTCCTATTTCCCCTTGGCAATTTAGACATGGCTCACTCGAAAGGCAGGTCCTTCAATATCGAATATTTGCAGTACATCACTTCTGATTTTTAAATGTTCACATCACCTGGGCGACCACATTTTTGCACATTTTAGAGTTGCAGGGGTGATGTGGACCAATCAGAACATAGGAATTCTGTGTCTCTATTTATTACATTAAGTCCTGCCACTCTAGGCCCAGTAATACATCTAGTTCTGTCTCCCATGTCTGGGTTTCCTATTTCCTCCCATTTTTTGGTTATACTTCCCATAATACCATCCAAAGTTGGACAGAATTAATATTGCTAAATGTGAAAGGCAACTTATCCTTTAACAATATCACAGAAGTGGAAGAATTGCAGGGGCACGATGTCCCCAGGAACTTTTTACACTGTTTAAAAAAGTTAACTCTGTTTAAAAAAGTTAACTCCTTGCTGTAGGATGGTGTCTAGGGACATCTTGCACCCATACGTTATACTATGTACCGTAGTGGTTATAGTGCTGCTTTAAACTGTTAAAGATTTGGGATGACAAATAAAGCTTTGTTATATGAAACCTATCTTATCCATTCATTTTTACAAAATATAAGTATTTATTGATTCAGCTTTGGTTTAGCACACTTACCTGTATATGTAGTTTAAGAGAAGTACTTTTACAAGCCCTCTCCCAGTTTTGAAGGCCCACAATTTTCTGTGTGCAAAATCACAATTACTTTGTGCAAACAGAAAGCTTGATGTTACAATCTCCTTGCAAGCC